CCCCAAAACCCCAAAACCCCAAAACCCCTAAGGATACGATTTTTATTGAAATTATTGAGATAGGTGAGAGCTCATCCATTTCATATCTCCTTGCTCTACTTTAAAGTGACCGGATACGATTATGTGACCTAGACCGTTACTTTCAAAGATTTTGTTAACATCACTTATTGTTAGAGAACAATCATTCAGCTCAATTTGCTTGAGAGATTTCTTTAAATCAGATTTAGATAGAGATTCGACTAAATTTTCGAATTCTTCAAGGTTATTTTTCCAACAGCTGTTTTCTCTCTTTCCTCAGTCTTCAAACCCAAGGTATTCGATAGTGGTTCCTCTGAGACAGTCGGATAGGTCAGGGATTACTGGCAAGGAGATCTGGCATCAAGTGAATAGCACCTTTCTCTTGTACCTATTTGCCATCAACAATCTTTTCAGATGAGAAGAACCAATCTTAAATTTCCAAATGGTGATCTTCTCTGTACATAAATGGCTGGCTTTGGTTATCTGAGCTATATTTCTATTCATTCTAATAAGAGAGTTTGACTCTAGGACAAATATCTTTCATTGTCTTGGCAGCATGCTCCACAGGAAATTTCGAATTCTTTTGTTGTTCAAAGATCAATCATACACTAGTAACTCAGATATATTCGGGAGACGAATAGAAGCCATTTTCTTTAGAAGCCTCTGGTAATTTTGATGATCAATCCAGATGTCAAAATAGCAGTCTAAGTTGTAATTTATGCACATTCTTCAGATGTTCTGGGTGGCATTAAACCAGAGACTCTTCTCGATTTCAAGCGATTTCTCTTGAACTCGTAACTCAGCAGCATAGTAAAGATACCTTGGCGCTGGCTTATTGGAACTTTCTTTAAATGATCTTTGATTAGAACCTATATGAAGGACTGAGATATTGATACTCAAAATACATCTACTAGAATATTTATGCAAACCCATGATTAAGGCTACAAGTAACCATCCCTCAAGATTTATACAATTATAAGTCTCAATAGTTGTTTTTGATGATGATCTTGCTTCTGGATGAATATGATAGCCAAGTAAGTTTTCTCATTTGTCAAGGAGAGAGTCTATCAATTCTCGAATGAGTTCTATCCTTTTAACAGTCTCTTGATACTTATTTATAATGAAAGCTGGACTAGTACTCTCTCTAACCTTCCTCCTCCACCTCTTCAACTCCTCTCTCACCTGCCCCATTCTCACTCCAAACCTGCCTATTCCTTCCCAACTGTCATATCTCTCGACTACTTTCCTTCAGGACTCAACTGCCTGTTCTAGGCCGCCCAGTGGCAGCGCAGACTGCAGGGCTAGTGGCTGCATGGATAGAACTTTTTGGCCAGAAGGAACAAGGCTATGGGTCTTTATAGGTAGGCAATATGGGGTTTTGGGGTTCATTTTTAATTTTAGGGGTTAAATTCAATTATTTGGGCATATTTGGGGTTTTGGGGTTTTGGGGTTTTGGGG